GCGCAGTCTAGGACGGTCTATGAAGAGCGTACCGACGGAGTCTGGTGCCGGCTTCAGCGCAGTGCTTGCAACGCTCGCGGACCCGCGATCGCTGCCCTTGGCCGTACCGCCAAAGTCGCCCAACTGACGGATGGCAAGCGTGCCCAGGCTCTCGAAGAAAATGCGCAAATGCTTGTCCTTGATCCTGAGAGATAGAATGTCGCTTTCGGGTACATGGTACCCAAACTCGTCAGTCTGTCTCTCGGGATCTTGGCGGGAATCCGAAGACGACGACCGTCCGTGAACGCCACGGGTCGCGTAGGAGCCTGATTCTTCCCATCCCGACACTTTGACGACCACCCGTGAACGCCACGGGTCTCGTAGAAGCCTGATTCCGTTCCATCCCGACACTTCGACGACCGTCCGTGAACGCCACGGGTCGCGTAAGAGGTATGATGGCAGGTGAGTCCTCTGGTATAGATAGAGCGTGGGTCCCCAGGCGAGATCAAGATGGCGGTTCGGGAGCGCTGCCGTTTCCGCGCTTAGCCGGGTTCGCCCTTTGCCGAGACCCCTTCCCACGCCCCCGCCTCAACCGGCTCTCGGACCCCTCGCAGCGCTCTTTCTGCACGGTGGCGTGTTCGATCTTGTACGCTGACTTTGCGCACGTCGTAATCTTTCCAGCGCTGGTTTTGGGATCTCCGGGTGCGCCCATACGTGTGTCCGTGGCGGGCGGAGACGTGCCCGGCCATCGACCGCGTCGCACCTCCGCGTGCGATTCGCGCGTCGTGTTCGCTGTCCCCGACGACGACCTCTCTCCCGACCCGTCCGTAGTCACCACCATCGATGGAAGAATATTAGATTCAGATTACGTAGCGCGCGCGAGCGGTACTTCGGAACCCCCGCACTTAAATAAGCGATATGTAAAACGAAAGTTGCCTTAAGCCCTCCACCTAACGTATACAGTACGACAGCAGTAGGGATAAGGTAGAGAGCAGCGATAGCTAGCAATTCCGTCAGCCAACACAAGGTATTCAGGGTCAAAGCACGTACTCTTCACGCTCGTGATGGCCGTGACAGCCGCTGAGGCACCCAGCTGATTCGCGTCAGTTCCAATAGGAGTGCCAGTCGGGCGAAACACCCACAAGTACTGCAGCGGCCAGCAGCAACTGCGTGGCAATGCCGGAGCAGAGGTACACGATATATGCTGCTGTACCCTAGCGAACGCGGATGACCTCCATGATGGTATCGTATCGAGGCGCACGTCGCTTCAGTTTGATGGCGATGATCCTAATCGACGAGAGTTCATGATCGCAGACAAGGCATATGCAATGGGGAGCACTTACGCGAAGGCGAGAATTTGTATGTACAACCTGACGCGAAGTACCAAAGTCTGGGAAGATTGTAGATGTAGGCGATGCGAACTGATTTCGGGATGGTTGCTGTGGCATGCGTAGGATTAGCATGGCGAAGATAAACCAGACGCTGAGGGGTACCTGCCCAACACCAGGAGAAGACTACGGCGCTGGCAAGGAGACCGGTTTTGATTGAGCGTTTCGTGGTCAGATATGCATCGACGTCTTGGTACTCGTGGGCCGTCCTGCGACTAACCACCGTGACCGCACTGAGGGTCAAGGCGAAGGCGAGACCGACTAGAGAGGCGTCAGTCCAACATGAACCATCTGAAAGGCAATATGAGCTCACAGCCCAAGGTAATCCCATAGCCCAGGCCCTGTGACAAAGGGGCAGAGGTGGCCACCGCTTCGGACATGACCCAACCTCCTTAGGTACGTGCAACGAGACAGCTGGTCGCTGGCAGCTTTGTTCCATTGCCCCTAGTACCAAAAGCTCACATAAGTAGGCGCCCAAAGCTAGGTCATATCTCAAATTAGACCCCACATCGGCCGCGACCTTATCTGTGGAGAAGGCCAGCCGAGGTCCAGAAGGCTGACTGCGATAGATAGCATGCCGCCTGTTGCGGTTGAGATGCCAGAACGCTGGGGTCCAAAGGCAAGATACCAGCGGCGATCAGGCACACAGACAGACAGCAGTCTGGTCATCGTAATGATCATGACCACCCAAAACGTCTGGTGAAATAGATGGTGGTATTCGAGCTGAAGTTGATCATGAAGGCAGGAGGCAAGTGCCACGCGACGCTCGTGCTCATCAGACCGGTGACGCGCCAAACGCACCAGAACGCGCCAAGGTCGCGACGCGAAACACTATTTTGTCTCTTGACCTCCATGTCGTCTACTGGTCGCGAATAATCTGATAACTCTTATCGGGTGATCCGCACGTAATCTACACTCGTATCGTCTTTGGGGTACTTCTCCGCGGGGACGGTACCTCAAGATCTCAGGCTTATCTTTGTCTGCGAAACAAGAACCTCATCTACCCAACTATCGAGTACCTGGACTCAGCCATGCCTCTAGGAAAGACGAATACTGTACCTCGGCCGACGAATAGCCGGTACAGATTGGCCAGGTCACACAGTTCAGATAAGGCGCGCCATGAGTTCAGATCTGCTCTCCCAGCCGAACGCCCACCATGTCCGCCAACACCTGGAAGTCCATCTCAGAGCGCAAGTTGGTGGAACGGGATGGGAAAATACCCTCTGAATGGCGCATCCCATCCGACAAGTTACCGTCTGCATCTGTACGCGACGTGATACCTTCCGCGCGAGAGTCTGGCCTCTTCACGGCCCGGGAGCTCGAGATCACCGATTCACTCGCGACAGACATTGTAGCGCGACTTGCTGAAGGACAATGGTCGTATTTGGAGGTCACAGAGACGTTCTGCAGACGTGTCGTGGTCGCACAGCAGCTCGTGAACTGGTACGATGCTCAACTCATGTTCTGCACACGCATCTAAAGCTCCCCAGTCTGTCAGACCCTAACTTCGCTGCATTAGCGCAGGCGAATGAGCTTGATGCTTACCGTGCCGAGCACAAGAAGCTCATCGGACCCCTCCATGGTCTTTCGACCTCACTCAAAGACCAGTTCCGTGTATGTACTCTCGCGTCTGATTTCATCGTGGTGTTCACCGAAGCGCGCGTATAGGTCAAAGGTTTAGATGCTACAATCCGGGGATATGCTGGCCAAGCTTTTCAACCGTGCGCCGAGGAGTCCACCCTCGTTCAGCTCCTTCACGAGGCCGGTGCGGTCATCCACACGAAGACTGATGTACCGACCACGCTCATGGTGCGCTCAGTCACGCTTCACGTACACAAACACATCTAGTATAGGCCGGTGAGACCGCAAATAACGTCTTTGGTCGTACTGTCAATCGCCACAATTGTGAGAACATTCCTAGTGCGTCCATCTCGTCAGACGTATTGGACACACGAGTCTCATGCGAACTCATGCGGCTCCTCCGGAGGTGACAAGCAGAGTGGACCACGTCGTAGACATGTTGGAGTTGCTGGTAATACCAGCCGTATGGCTCGTAGGTGGAGATACAACCCTAGGAGTAATTCCGTTAGCTACTTTAGCTGTATGGTACTGTAAGTTTTTTCCGCGCCTATATACATGCGTACAGAACTGTTTGACGATGCCTGGATGATCAATTGGGCTTGGGGCTATAAATCAGTGGACGCTAAGTCCCTACGTAGCCTATACTACCATCCAAATTGAAGTAGCTTGTAATGGGGCTCCGTTTACATTGTCAGTGAGGCCCAGGCCCATGGGTGATCCGGCGTTGGCTGTAGACACATGAGATGCCCAACACGGACCAGTAGGCCCTTACTCGTGTGTTCTGAGTGTATAAGTGACTGTCGCACTTCTTCAGGCTCTACAAATTACATCAACGTGTTCGTATGAGTAATGCGCATACGTATGCGTGGTAAAAGTGGAGGGGACGGCTCATGCGTAGGAGATACAGGTGGGCAAGTGCTCAATGATCTCGCCATCAATAAACCCCGACCACGAGGCTCACACCCCCCGCGCGAGGTGTCACAGGGTCGAGCCCAAGCTCAGCGCGAGCCTTTGCGTAGACCTCGCTCTCGAGAGACTCCAGTATCGCATACGCGCATTCTTGTAGAACATCTACTCTTGCACGGATATCACCCTCTCGAATAGGACTACAGACACGCTAACAACATAATCTATAGCGCTCCGAAGATATATACATTGGGGGAGGCGGCTACATAGGAACAGGCGGGATGGAAAGTCGTCGTCGGGGACAGCGAGCACGACGCGAGTCGCCCGCCGCTGCGGCGCGACGCGGTCGATGGCCAGGCACGTCTCCGCCCGCCGCGGACACGCGTGTGGGTGCATGCGGAGCTCCGAACGTTCTCAGCGCTTCATGAGATGGTGGGCTGATTCGAATGCGTAGGAAAGTATGCCGGATTCGAACAGTACGAAGTAGCGACGAGCGAAGCCTGCGAGCGCGGTTCAGGGCTTACACAGACGTGTCAGCGGGGCCTACACACACCCTGCATTCTCTTTCTCCGCTTCTTGAGTACCCATCCCTCGTGTACGGGCGCCGCGGGATTCAGACTCGGAGGCGTAACAAGTGGTCCCGAAAAGGCTTTGGGGAGAGTCTCTGGCATGGCAAACAGGACGATGCACCACTAACGGCGGCAGATAGACAGTGTGGGACGACAGGGAGGACGCTGGGCCAACAAGGAAGGGGCAGCCGCGTCAGGTGCCGGCCTCCTCAAGGCCTCTCTCGCTGCTATCGCTTCCGAACGTTGAACTCTGAGATCTGAACCTACATATACTCAGACTGTCTAAACGTTCAAGGCGTCACTTACTTATTATTGGCACTAGCTTAGACCGTCTTTGAGCCTCGAGCCTGGAAAACCCCGATCATGATCGGATGACGCAACGTTGATCCAACCCTGTTGTGCACCACCATCGGCCCGTTGAGTAAACCGCCAGGTTCGTGGACCGAAGACGATAGGCCAGCCCTCTTTTTGATCAGCAATATAGTGAAAGTCCTGATAGGCATCGGAGTATACCGTAGGAGTAGCTTGTAACACCCAGTCTGCGACTTTCGAGGTTACGCTCGTTGTCGCGCGTTTGCAATGCCGTCGGCCGAGACCCCCGCTTCGATACGGACCCAACCTGAAGCTTTGGGCTCACCACGGTCTTGGGCGCACGATCTATCGCACTCGTGTCACATCAATCCACCCCCGCCCACTTCATCATCATCATCCTCTTCGCTTGGTAGTCCAGGCCCCGTGGATACGCCTGAGTCCTCTCGTACGCTGTTGTTTTCTGAAGCTTCTTTCAATCTTGCCAATCAGGCGTATATTGCAGCGGTAATTATGTCACCCGCACAAGGCACGGAGAAGTCTAAACGCCGCCACTGTAAAAATGCAGTATGTGAATATCTTCCGCCTTCGTGGGCGTGCCCATCTCATGCCGGTGCGTACTAAATACTGCAGTGCACCAACTGCAAGGAGAAGGGCAAGAAGTGTGAAGATGCCCGTCCCTGCCGACGATGTATCGCAACCGACGTTGCTCAGACGTGCGTGGATAGCGTACATCATTATCGGGGCAGGAAGGGCCCTAGAGGTAAGCGGTTGATTCCTGTCGACTTCGTTCGTCGCCGATCTCCCTGCCAGGTCCACGCAAAAGGCACGAAACAATCAAGTTTCCTTCATCAGACGGCGCCTCAGGACCGAATGTCAGAAAATTGATGCGCGCGTCGATAGTGGGTCTCGTTCTGCCCTCAGCTTAGCTAGTCCCGCAACTTGAACTTGCACGGGTGCTCTGTGCGCAGAGGTTCCTATTCTTCCTATCATCATATCGCCGACGCAGAGGGCCGGTGTACTTTGGCTCCCAAATCTATCCCACCCCGCAGACCTACTTGGGCATATTTCCATCGTTGGTCTGTCTTGCAGTTTCTAGTGGTACAGCTACCAGATATACTTATACCTACTCTGCATGCAATGTAAGAAATGCATGATTCGCTATTATACGAATGCGAGCATCAAGGTTCTTCGAACGCGATCAACTTCATGAATATTGAGAACAAGACACAGCGGCATTCGCGTCAACATTTATGTCATCCTTCGAAGATGACCAAGTCACCGTAGAGGGGTGGAAGGGAGCGGGTAATAGACGTGGTTAGGCGGAGGACGCGGGCCAGTGTACGTCTCGTCCCGACAAATTGCGTCCAGGCCGCGCCGGTGTTCGTTGTTCTGAATATGACGAGCGGCAGCCTCCCGTTCGAAATAGACCGAGAGACCGCGACGAGAGAACCTCGGAGACGAGTCCTCTGTCATATGGTGCCACGCCTGGACCCTTAGCCACCTAATCCTGCATGCGAGATATTTCGCGGCGAAGACGGTCAAGCTCTTCGTCGGCGCGTTCGAGCTTGAAGTAAGCCATTTATGCCTCGCGATTCTTCCGGTTCACCAACGGTCTGTAAAGGATGTCGTGGGAAGACTCATGTCGACGACCTCCTTGTACGAGAGCTTCGGCGCTCTAGGACGGTGGATGGCGCGGAGGCGATTGATGTTGATTGCATTCCGGATGTGATGGCCTGCGCGAGACACTTGCGCTCATTGCAGCCTATGATGTCGTCACTGTGTGTTTTTATCCTTGCCCTTCGCTTGCGCTTCACCTCGTCAGTGAACTTGTCGACGTCCTCGGGCGAGGTCCAGAAGCTGGACGGCAGGTGATCGGTGTGGCCGCTGTTCAGCAGGCGCTTCTGCGACTCGTTTCCGTGAGAGGCGTGCGTGCGTTCTAGATCCATCTTCTTGCCCCGGGAAGCTGGAACGAGCCCGCGAGCGTGAGTGCGGGGGACGACATGGGAGCTCGACGATAAGCGCACCTTGTTGCCACAAGACGGACAGGCGTACTTGGCGTAATAGTCCTATTCATCGCGGCTCAGCTCCTTTTCACGAGTTTCTGGATATCGCGCAGTACGGCGAGGTACGCTTCGAGTGCGAGCTTGGAAGATTTTTGCAGGGACTTGCGGTATATCATCTAGATAGCATCCGATCAGTGATGATCAATACGATAGTTTCTGAGTGCATACGTGAGAGAATTGGCACACTGCCTTCAGCCATTGCATAGCAGTGCAGGAAGGCAGGGCCCTGCGCAGCTGTCGATGCTGCTCGAGCCCGCGTATCTCGAAGACGACGCGAGACCGTGCCGGATGTCCAGGCAGACAGCCGAACCGAGCGAGAGCGGCGGCGGCGGAGTGTTCGCGGCGCCGGGGCACTATGGTCTGGTAGACTTCTACTAGCTCAGTTAGCGATGTTGAGATCCCGACGATGTTTCACTCACTGTTAGCGCCGAAGACGAAATTCCTGAAGTAATGGATACCGGTACCGTCCGCAGGAGATGCAACATCCTGCATTAGGTGCTTGAGGTGAACGAATAGATGATCTGAAGCAATACGTGTCCACTCTGTGTGCAGCGCTGCATTGTCGTCTGTGCGGTTGTGTCTCGCCCAGCGCGGTTCTTCGAGTATAACCTTGTCCAGATGTTGCTATCAGCTTGAAATGAGACACTGTAAACGTACCCGGTATACTTGTCTCCCCTTCGTCCTTTCGTCCGACAAACTCTCTGTGTTATCCCCTTCCTCTGCACCCTTGCTGCCCTCCTCGCCATCCGAGACCATGCCGTTCTCGAGGTGGACCGAGACCCAGGCGTCGTCCTCATCATCCAACATCAACTTCGCCTTTTGCTCGACTTCTACCATCTTACAACATGCCATACCTTCCATCCTTTCAGTTTCCAAATTTGCGAGCAGATCTGAAGGACGTACGACACCGCCATTTCTCTCTCCTCTCTCCAGTTCTCATTCCCGCAGATCCTTCTTCCGGAGAACCCTTAGCGTCGACTTCAAGCTACCAGAGAGAATAACAGTAGCATTGATATAGCTGGCGCAGACACCTTCGGGCCTGACTGTGGCTCGAGGTAAAAGCGAGGACAGATGCTGGAGATATGTAGCAAAAGACGGGTTAGGACAAGGCGTGGATTCGACTTGCCGCGCGCGTCTAGACGCGGTGCACGTGAGCTCGTTTGCGCCTTTACGCGGCATGCGGCGTGCGGCGTGCGCTTGGTCTCCTCCGTCCACAACCTCACTCATAAGAAACAATATGGCATCCTCGCGCGACCTTTCCGACTACCTAGACGGGCTGGTCAATAACATAGGCGCTCTAGGTATAGGCACCAGTACGAATTGGCTGGCATAAGGTTCCACCGCGTCTTACCTATCCCATGAAGGGCGGATTCTCGAAACAGGCTGACAGTGATAAGTACAAATGGCTCTCATCTGAAAACGGATTCTGTGCGGGCAAGGACTGATGCGCCTGATCCTCCCTGATCGCTCGTTGATATCGAACTTTCTCGATTACACAGTATGGTCACAATATCCTGCTACATTCGCTCGAAGTTGGTGACGGTTCATTCATGGTCGCTGTGCTGAAACTCAGCTAGGATGTGCTCGGCGACTTTGCCTGCGTCCCCGTTGATTTACCCACTCCTGGCTTTTCCGAGGTGGCCAATGCTTCGGGGAGGTTTTGCGAGGGTACGCACGTTGACCTTGAGGCAACTGTCAGGCGCCCCACGGACTGCCCGCTTACGCCCATTGCTCTTTCGCTCGCGACGCGCGTTGTGGATGCAAGCCCATTCTCGGTAGCGCGACTGGCACGTTGTGTTCTATAGTAAGCAGAGTGGTATTCTTGAACACGAGTGAGTAATGGCGCCGGGTCCGACTCACCGCACTGTGGCTGATATGTTGTAGTGGTGAGTCTCGCGAGGCCTATGAACGCGTTTCTGGCGCTAGTCAGAACAGGTATAAGTGAGAGGCAGACGCGCACGGGGTCTTTCAGCAGGCATGGTTCAATGGCGACGAGGTGGAGCTACGCCTGGTGGAATCGGGGAACAGATGTACACTGCTTTTATTCTTCGATCTTGTCATCTTCCCCGTCTTCTGTTGTATCCTTCGGATCTTCACCCACCCTCATGTACACTCTATGCTATCTGCCAGATTGACCTTGATTCATTTTGCTGTACGCTATCCGACAGTGTTGCGCTCCTCGACAGCCTGTAAGTGTGAACTCGAACGAGATGCAAGGACTGCCACGAAGGAGCGGAACACAATGAAGAAGCATCATATATGCCATGTTCAAGGACGGGGTCATGGTCATGCCATATAGTTGGAAGATCACAGAGGTTCGATATGTACTGAGCCGGTGTGTTGAAAGACGTGGGGACAACGGTCTTGCACTCATCTACGCGGCGAAACACTTTGTGAACTTGCTCGTCAGCCACCCCTCAGCCAACTCCCAAGCGTAACGCCATGAATGCATCAATAATTCTACATAAAAACTATCGGGCATACGTAAGGAGCACACAAAAAAAACATGGGGAGCATAGACATCGACAGGCAAGTACTATCAGCGATAGACGGTGCAACGCCCCTTATAAGGAAGGTGGCTCACATCCGCCTTTGCTACCCTCGCTCGCGCCTCGCGGCTCAACTCGTGCCGTTCGCCCTCATCGCCCTCATCGTCGCTAACCTCTCTTCTACCACTACACTGGCATGCGGGTTCGTCTGCGGTCGCCAACACCCGACTGGCTGTGTTCTGGCGAGGATGTAGAGGAGTTGTCACCTGGTTCACACGGCGAGGAGCGCGAGCAAGCGGCCGTGGTAAATAAGAGGTATCTATATCGTTATACTCATAGTGACCTGTCCTTAAACCGTCATCAGCACAGAGCGCTCGCGTCGCCGTCGCGCGTTGAAAGGAGGCGGGCGAAAAGAGGGGAAACAGAAGTTCCTGCGCCGAAAGCGCGATATACTAGGTCAAAGCAGGTATCGAAGTGCATTACTGTAGCATTGGACCAGAGTACAACTAAATCTACAGTAGCACACATTCCTCCTTCGCACTGAGAAGTGTCGACCGTGAGGCTTCTCTCACTGCCGCGCAAACACTCCGCGAGAAAGCAGAGGTTGACAGCCTCCTCACTTACCTCGGTTACTTCGAGCTACACCCTGGGCGACCTCCAATAGCAAACGATACCCGCCACTCGTTTGTACGCCGTTATATATTGGAGCAGCTCGCACGAGTGATGGCCGCTGAGGAAGGTGCCGTATGTGGTGAAAGAAGCACTCGCACGAACTCTGCATACTTCGCGCGCCGACTCGTAGCAGGCTGGGGGCAGATCTTGGACTTGTGGGAGGCTGGCGAGGAGGACGCACTGGGGCGTGCTCACGAGGAAGGCGCGCTCATTCTTCGTGGTGCGCGGTTTAATACGGCTGGAATTCGGGACAGGCTTTCCATGTATGTAGGGTAAGTAGTAGTTGCCTGTAGGGTAAGTAGCAGATGCCTGTAAATAAGTAGTCAGAATATGTATGCATGCTAAGTACATAGAGAGAGGGGTCCGGGGAAAGCACGCCGCGACGGCAGGCCTCTGAGCGGGGACGCGCAGAGAAGCATGTGAAAGAGCCTTCAGAGCCCTCAGAGCGAAATCGGTACGGCGCCGAGAGCCTCCGGAAGCCGCATATACTTATGACGTCGCGGGCCAGCGAGCCTTACCTTCTGAGGATAACCTATCTGGTTGTGCTGTCGCGCACCTTCCTCTACATCGATATTCGCATTGCAATAGAAAATACCCATAGAAGAGCTTGTATATGGTGTATAATACATACAGACGTAGTGAATACATACACTCGAAATCCCGCGTCCCGCAAGGCCAACCTTGCTCGGGAGTTCTTCACGCGACGGTGACTGCGGCACATATGGCCACGGCTGATAGTACAAGTATCGAATATACGGGACGAACAATCGCACCGCCAGGAAACGGCTCCAGCGGCGGCGGCTTCCACCCATCATCATCAGTACCTGAATCTCTCCTCCAACTTCCCCCACCGCGCCTGACGTCTGCGCAGAAATCAGACACTCGTTCGACGACAAAGGAACACGAAAGGCAGGCCACGACGGACCTGCTGTGCGGCGCGGGCTTGCATTGTTCCCACGTATGCGTCGGCACGAAGGAGACGTTCCAACTCCCAACGCGTTCACGACCAGCGCATCCACGACGTCTCCCGTGATTGCAACACTCCACTGCAGTTGTAGCCTAGTACTCAACATCAGAAAAAGAACAGCAGAAGCGGGAAGCCAAGAATGGCACACCTATTGAAGAGCATAGGACGACGTGAAGAGCCCTCGCGGTTCTTGCCCGCGTGAGACTTGACCATCGCGCTCTCGCTGTTGTGCCCACGAGACCAGCCGTAGCCGGCAGAGACGAAGTCGGCAATCATGAGTGTCGCACCCTCGGTCTTCGCGTTCTTGGTCTTCTAGTAAGGGACCGGTCGCTCGTCACGGTGAACCTGGCGAATTTGGCGCCGGTCATTTCCGCAGAAGTGCGTCGCCTCTTGGTATCAGAGCACGACAGGTTTTTGCTCGCTTGGTTCCGATACGAGCTCGCCGTCGCAGGAGAACACACGTTGCGCATCACGGGCCTCGCGCAAGATAGACGGAGTAACAGTGTCGCTGCATGCAACAACGTCGGGGCGCTCGTGGCCATCGGCGTGATGCGTCCGCTTGAAGCAATAGCCGAACTCGTACATCCAGCGCCAAGCCATGCAGTAGCAGATCGTGTGGTCGGGACTGAACATCTTCCGTGCCTCTTCACTGATGTGGATCGTAGGGTTGAAATTGACGGGGAAGCGCCAGTCACGATACACGGTATCCAGACCGCAAGCCTTAGCGCCAAAACGAAGAACGGCCTGGGAAGCAGCCTCCTCGCCACCCTGTGTCCGCTTCATGGCGCACCGAGTACAACGCTGCCGTAACCTAGCTTCCCAAGCAGCACATCGCCGACCGCCATGACATCCGACATGTAGGCATCGCGCGGTGCGACGAAGAACCCTGATGGAAGGTCCGCGGCGTCATTGGTACTCGCATCGCACACAATGGCGATCCACGAGTCGTCAGGGAGTATGTATGTTTCATCACTCTCATCTGAGACGACATAGAGATCGCGCGCTCGACCATGGGCGAAGATGGTATGAGCTGTATCGACGGCGATGTAGCGAATCTGCTCGGTTTGCGGGGTGTATTGGGCAGACTTGCAGGCGCTGGTGCACCAGGAACGTTGATGTGTCGAGGACTGAACACGGGCGGTTGCAAGCGCCGTGTTCCGTAACGCGAAGAATGGCGCTTCTCTCCGGAACAAGCGCTGTGAGCGAGCGCTCAAAATCCCTTGCGAAGGCAGACTCAGGCGTGCTGCCGTTCGCATGGGCAAGACCTGATCGAGAGGGAGTGCCCCAGTGTTCTTGACGATCATACGGCCGACGGCGCCAGCAGCGTTGTCCTTCGCGCTCAAGCGCGCAGGCGGGCTGGCCGTAGGAACGACGTCGAAGAGCGGCTCCAGCTTGCCGAGAATGGGCAGGTACTGTTGCGAGAGATCCTGCTGCGGGTTCTCGATGAGGAGACCACTGGCGAAGCAGCGTTGCTATGGACCTCCGCGTCCGTGTCGCTGAGTGCGGTGTAGAAGAGCTCGAGCAGCGGCTCCGTCCAATTGGTGGCCTCCGACTTGAGCGCGTCGATGAGCTCGGCCAGGCAGCCGATAGCGGCAGAGCGGTCACTGAGCGAGCGGTTCTTTTTCTGAGTGATCGTGATCGTGAGCGACTATCCTCGCAGCGGGAAAGGTAAGAGACATACGTAGTACTTCCCGATGAGCGGAAGGAAGGTGGCGAACAGCTGCGAGAACATTGGACCGAGAACGTTCGCGATGGTGGCAACGAGGTCCTGCGCGGACGAGATGAGCACCGACTCGTACTCTGCAGACTCCTCCGGAGCCTCATCGGCGTCATCCTGATTGGGATCCTGCTGGCACAACGCCTTCTGCTTCAAGATCTGTACCGTGATGGTGCAGAGCTGCTCGAGGTCTGTGTCGTCGTCAGCACAGCTTGTGAAGACATGTTGAGATGATGGGATACTCACAGCCATCGAGGAAGCGCGGGCCAACCTTGTTGATGGTCTCCGCGAGACCGACGCAAAGAGCAGCAGCGACCGTCTTGTTATCCTCGGTCTCGTACATGTTGAGCAGCTGAGGAACAATGTGGCTGATGAGGTCGGCAACATGCTGGTTGAGCGCCGGGGCGGTCGCAGGCGGGCCGGGCTGCCACTCAGCGGCTCAGAAAGCTCGTAGAAGGTGCGGATGATCTCGAGGAACGAGTCGCTCGAGGACTTGCGGATGCCCTCGTAGTGGTGCTTCGTGAGCTCGATGAGCTCGAGCGTGCACTGCTCGACGTAGGGAAGGAAGCTCTTGCCGGTCGCGGCGATGTCCTTCTCGACTGCAATAGCCGAGTTGACGTCAAGCATCTTGTCGAGATCAATGTCCTCGACTTCGATGGGCTCATTCTCGTCGATGACCGTAATGGCGTTAGCCGGGTCAGCCGGACGCGGAGAAAGCAGCGAGTGCCTCGGCGTTTGAGACTGCAAGGGCGTTGGTTAACTGTGAAGCTCAATGATACGAGCAGGACTTACGACCAATGGGCTCCTTGCCACCCTCCTCGAGCTTACAGCTCGCGATGAGAGCCGGTACAACCTTCGGCAACCACGGCGCGAACTCGTCACCGTAGACACGGGCCATGACACCAAAGAAGAGGAACGAGCACTCGCGAAGACGGGCAGAGCCGAGCTCGATACCAGCGAACGCCTGCTGCATCAAGTCGTTGTAGTACAGGTGGAAGACGTCCTTGCCGACTGCCTCGGAGAACGTGCCGACTGCCTCGGAGAACGTGCCGACGGCGTCCATGGTGATACCGCGAAGGTCATGCTCCTCGCCCTCGCTAGTGAGCACAAGGAAGTGCTTGACGCGCTCCATCGTCGGCTGGAAGTACGGCAGGAAGCCCTCCTTCGACGCGTGGGTGGCAGAGCGGATGGCGCCCATCACGACAGTCTTGACGGGGATGGGCGCGGTCTCGAGAAGGCCGGAAAGACGCTCCATGAAGAGCTGGAGGTACTGCTTGATGTCGTCGTGGAGGATCTCGAGAAGACCGTCGAGAGCGGTGCAAGCCTGGCGCTGGGTCTGCGGGTCCTGGACGAGCTGCATGATGGCCTATGTGATAGTGTTTGAGTGTATGATCGGCACGGATCGAAGAGGCAAACATACGGGTACGAGAACGGAGTGACGCTGGGAGCACTCATCCTCGAGCCCACTCGCAGAGGCAACTAACCGCAATGCAGGTCGCCTTGCGCACGCTAGCGTCGGCATCTTGAAGACCGGCGTCGATGATGGGCCAGACGCCGTTCATGAGCGGGATCATGAACTCGGAACAGCCCTCGACGGAGATGCCGAGCGCCAACAGACCACCGCGGCGCAAGTTCGGGTCCGGAGAAGTGATGTAGCTCTGGAGGACCTGGCGAAGAGGGTTGAAAACCTGGGTCGGCGGCAAGTTGGTGGCAAGGGCGTCGATGATACGGAGAGCAGACTGCAAAGAACGTGAACTTCAGTCCGACACGACCGCACGTATAGAACGTACGCGAGAAGGCGCGTCTTCGTCAATGGCCTCGACCTCCGGCTCAGCGGTGATGGGCATGAGACTCAATGATCACACCGGCAAGGTTATTGCTCTGGATCTTCGACTTCTTGCTGTACTGGTATCAGTACCCGGGGGTAGGAAGACCATCGGAAGTGAATGTACTCACTACTGCACGGTCTATGTAAGCGCGTTCAGAGCTTGAATGCGGAGATCATCGTCCACGTTGCGGTCGGCACCAGTTTGGAGAAGGTATTGAACGAGCTGCGGGACGCTGGCGCTCAATAAGGGCGTCTCCTGCGATAAGAAATCAGCACAACGGTCGAAGGGACTAATCCAATCCGACGTACGAGGATGAGCAGAGTCTCGAAGACGTGCTTCGCGCCTTCGGTGTCGCCGAGTGCCACAGTTTGCTGGATAACATTCAACATATGCGGCATGACGGCCTGGAACGCGCGCTAAAGACAGAGTTTGAGCATCGGCATGACCAAAAGCGGGCTTGTGAGTTCCACATACGATCTCCGTCTTCTCATCCGAATAAATGTACTTGCCGACTGTGCCCAGTGCCCTAGGAGTATATCAGAACCCGTATTCGGTGAGAACGCAAGGAAGACAGCTAACCTAACTGCGGTCACACGGACGTCGTTACTCTCCGGGTCCTGAAGAAGCTTTTCGAACAACTGCAGGAATTTAGGAATAGTGGAGGTGGAGGTGTCCATGATAGACTCGATGACCGAAAAGAGGACAAAGACACCAATCTTGCGGTGGGCGACGGCGGTGGACAGGCAGGTCTCCGGGATCCAGGGCAATGGCGTCGGCCAGGTGTTGTGTTCCATCTCGATACCGGCGATCGCGGCAATGACTCGTGCGGCAGAGTGGCGGACGAGTTTCCTGACACGGAAATAAGCCTACGCGCACTGCGAGAGTGTTATTATGTACGTACTGAGACTCGTTGAGGATGAACGAGGGCAGGTTGGCCTTGATGGCGTCGCGGTCGGCCTGGTTGACCTGTAGCCACATATCGCCGCTACGGGCGTAGACACGTTTCCTCAGCTCGACTGAGGCGAGTTGCAGAACCTATTATTTCCCCAGTAAGTCTCAGATCCCAATCATACAACAAATAAACGCACAGGTGCCTCCAGAGACATAGTGAGAATAGTCGTAAGGACAGTAATGCATGTCGGGTTTTTGTAGTACTCCTTGTTGATCTGAGCCGTCGCCTATGTATAACTTGAGTATGAGTTTAACTATCAGATCGGTGGCGACGCACGGCCTTCGGCTGGAGAGTATTGTTTGCGGTGGACTGCACGAGGAGATCGCGCAGACCCTGGACATAGCTCTACATCGGGACATGTCAAGCGCGTTCGCCGCACACCCAGATAGTATCCGTACGCTATCCATGGTCGTAAAGGAGGGAAGGGGAAGATGGACGATGGGGAAAGCCAAGGCTTACATCTCAATTTTTTGGCGTGATATGCGCTTCGGTTCCTTTCCCACGAGCAAGATAAGATCAAACCATCTGGCGTAGTGGCGCGACCACCGCTTGTCACAAACCGCCATTGTCATGTTCCGATGCGCGACTTTCTTTGTAACTCTCGTACTCTAGTGTGTTCAATACGCAGTGAAGAGATCTATGCCGTAAAACGATTTTCTGGTTATATCGTCACCCGCTGTCGGCGAAGGCTCCGCCTCAGTTGGCATAAAACTCTGCTTCGTGATACATCATACATCGTCTACGCTCATAGCTGATGTACTTGTGTCGAAAGTCAAGAACTTGCTCGACCTGTGCATCACGAGGCTACGGCGACTATACAGTAATGCGTCAGACCTTCGTCTCCGAAGCACGTAGCCACACTTGCCAGATTGCTCGAACGTCGCGTTTACTTCAGCACGGACAGCATTTGCGCCCGGCTCATACGATTGCACCCGATTACCCTCCCCGCGGACGTCATAGTACATTGGGCCCCAGCTAATTTGTTGTCGGGTACTGAGGATGTGGCCAGCGCTGTCGTTCATAAAGTAGCGGGCGCCGACTACGAGTCAGTCAGACCTTGCTCGAGAAATTCGCTATGATATAAGCCTTGTGATCGCACGTACCCTGAATCGCATTTCGCATGGTGTCGCTTGAAGTCTTCCATGCGCGGTCGCGTAATGTTCCGCTGGCCACTTGCCCCGCCACCCCTCCAACACCCATGATACCGAGCCCCCAGCCCAAGCTCGCCAGAACAGAGATGGTAACTTGGCCGATTGCGCCGACCATGTGACCAACCTTTGCCTCTCCCTCTGCCTTGCTGAACGCATTGTCACCTGTATCGGCGCGTATTTCGATAGTATGAGGCACCGACGCGAGGGGCACAGTCCAGGAAGCGCCTGGCGCGATCGAGTTTTCATAATGGGCGGATATAGCGTGAAGGTGACCTGTCGTGAGAACGCCTTCGCGGAGAAGTCGACCCAGGATGATGCGGGCAAGGCGGGTTTGATCTCGAACGCGGGTAGTAGTATGTGTCCAGGCAATCGTATCAGCAGATCGGCCCGCCGGTAACCCTCGTACACTTGCCGTACGAGAGGCTCAGGTGCGTCATCAGGTATTGGTATATCGGGTTCAGGGAAGTTCGCGTCCGAGGGTTGTATCGTGGGAGCCGCGAGATAGCTGAACACTGAATCGAAGGTGAAGTTCGTGACTAGGATCGAGGGCAATCGAGCCGCATCTGCTGCTAGAGATGCGAGGAACGCCGCATCGCTGAGCACCACATCAGCGCCGACAGTCTTCAGCCAATCAGCCTCTTCGGCTACGCGGGCCTCCTTCGTTTCGAGAAAGAGGCGAGAGCTTCCACGCTCTTCGCCCGGTCAATGCGATATGCAACGGGTTGCACGACCACTAGGTCGATGAGCGAGTTGCGGTACTGAGCTCCAAGAGCTATACTGTCGACAAATACATGAGCGGGTGCCGATGATACTATATGGTCGGGCGTATGCCGACGGGAAGAGAGTATAGATGAGACGCAAAGGCGCTGACGCGCTACTGGAAAAGTCAGAGGATGACCGGAGGTATAATATGCTGAGAAACTAACCGTAGCGTGACCATATCCATGCCCAGAACAGTAATACGCCACACAGCGAGGCATATGTCAGGCCGAAGATCTACACTTGAGATGAGTCTATTGCTGCCAGAGTATCCCCAGCTCAAGATCCCTCTAATCTCAGGGAGGCAATGACGAAACGAAGTCGAAGACTCTCAAGGTTGTGGTAAGGAGCAAGATGACCATTCCTGGCTGTGAGGAACGTTTGCGACAGCTAGGTATGGCGGCTATGGCCGCATGAGCATGAGTGCGAGAGGCGCCGAACCAACACCGGGCCTGGCCGCGCCAAGCCGTGACGTCTACCGGCTGTTACCGTTCGCGCCTTTCAAACAGACATCTGGAAGAGTGATTGACGTGGCGTTCACGCAGAGATTCGGTCAAAGAACGTTGTATAAGTAGGTTACAATCCGTAAACCAGTACGCGATGACGGGCACGAAGGCCAATAATGCTACACATGATTATGTCAAAGCAAGCAGAGCGGGAGATGCCAAAATGGCCATGTACGTCGTAAATGGTATGGAGTGCAGACAGTCCAGTAAAACCGATTAGCGTATGATGATCGTCATATACAGTACCGATGAAACCAAGCTCGAAGGTCATATCCAGTTCGTGAAGTTCAGAATGCGCGCGGCGCATAGTCAGAGAAGGGGTTGCGTTCCTGTCCAGGCCGAGCCTGCACAGGACGGCCCATGACGGGGTAGCGTCCTCCAGGCGAATTTGGAACGTGATCATCGTCAAAGAGCGTAGCAAAAGGGTCGGGGCCCGTACGCTGAAGGGTGAGAAAGCCCAGGAGAGTTCTGGAGCCTACGAGGAGGCGGTTGGAACAAGCGAGCGGCCTGAGGAAGCGGTGGTGGCGCGGGGAAGTGATACGCATTGACACTGGTGTTGGGCAGCGCAACGGGTACCTCGAGCATCGCCTGAGGCTGAGAGGGAGCATGGATTGGGCTCACATCCTCGGAAGAGCCGTTGGGCCCAACGTCATCGGGCACACTCGCTTTGCGGCGTGGTCCACCAGGGTCCACCACCTTTGGTAGTTTGGTAGGGGAGACAGTCGGACGCAGCCACGGCTTGACGATAGAAGCGGGTGAGGTGCTCCAGCGGCTGATCTCACGAATACGCTCGTGTGGCGCAGGTTCGGAGGGAGATGTCGTCTCGATCACCGGGAGCACCGCACTGTTGCGGGCGCTCTCGGCGGGCTCGGGCAAAGATCCTCAACGACGACTTCTTGCGCTTCCCAGGTGTAAAGTCCGGAGCGCTTGACCCGCCGCGGGCGTTCATGAAGCTGAAGCGCAAGCGCTGACACCAGCCCTGGCTCGCCGCATCGCTCACGCGGCCCTTCTCGTGGTCAGAGGACGAACGCGTCAGGTGGCGGGAGAGGTTGCCGAGGCGTGAGGGACCTCGCGATTCGGCCGGGCGTGATGCAGAAGGTGCGGCGTCACGGTCAAAAAAGCTGTCAAAGCTTTTGCCGAAGGCACCAGCGAGTCGAGCATCAAGACCCGGCTCGGGAGGAATGGGAGTGAAGCTTCGAAGATCGACTTGAGGCGGGGCGTCGCTGACCTGGACGGTCTGCGGTTTCTCCTTCCATTCGCGGAAGGGGGTGACAACGCCATCGACACCCTGGCGTTGGCCAGACCGCTCGAACTTTTGGCGCTTACGACGCTCGATGATAGCACGTCCATACGAGTGGTAGAAGATGACGCCAAAGCCGGCCAACACAACGAGGAGCCAGAGTCCGAGGAAGATCGCGAACATCAGGCGCTCCTTGCGGAGGCTGGCGGCGTAGGTATCGAGGAGGCGGCCTACAAGA